AAAAAAAAAAAAAAAAAAAAAAAAAAAAAAGCCTAACAAAAGAAATTGTTACTGTGGATAAATATAAAAGAACAGTTTGTCCACTTCAAAAGTACATATTGCTACTTTATTACTACTTTAAGCAAATGTTATCACATTGTCTTGTGGCATTTATAATACATGGTAACCAATACAATAAGGGACAGAAAAAGTGGCTAATTGATGGACTTTTCATGTTTTTTTTCTTCATGAAGCACTCATGAAAATACAAAAGGAATAACAGAAGAATGAAAGAGAACACAGAAAAACTATAGTTATGGCTCTCGCTCTCGCTCTCTCTCTCCCTCTCTCTCTTTTCTTTTGGTACTGGGGATCGAACTCATGACCTTGCGCTTGAGAGGCAGGTGGTGAAACCACTGAGCTAAATCCCTGCCCCCCCCAGCTCTCTTAATAATTACAGTAAATGATAGTGAATTGAAGGCCACCCTGAACTACCTAGTGAGACCCTGTCTCAAAAAACAACAAAGACAGGCAGAGGTTATAGAACAGTAAATACCGAAAACCTAACACTATGCTATTACAAGAGATGCACTTTCACTATAAAGGCATAGATTAAAAAGAGAACACAACGCCAAGCACATAGTAAACAGGAGAGGGTTGGAGTGGTAGGACAGTTAAGCTTAGTCGTCTGACTTTATTAAGAGGCTCAGCAAGGCGACTGGATCATGGGGACAACACACTCACTAGAGACTCACTGAGGTCCACAGCTGAGTGTGCTGTCAGGAGGTGGACCCCGCAGGAGGAGGGGCACTGGGGTGAAACTTTGGAGGGTACATCACTCCCTGGTGCCCTTCTCCTGTACCAGGGGTGGCGAACCTATGGCACACATGCCGCAGCCGACTGCGTGTAATCACCAAAAGCTCTAAAAGGTTCGCCATCTGCTTTCCACCTGCCACGAACTGAGTAGCTTTGCTCCACCAGCCTGTCCACCCTGATGTCTCTGCTTTAGAGCCAGCCGATGGACTGAGCCTCTGAAGCCATGAACCAAAAGTCATACAAGTGGCTGTACTAATACCAGATGAAGTGGATCCGACTCATCCCATCAGAGAATGAAGAAGGTAAAGTTGCCTCTGCCTTCAGTGGAGCCGGTGTGTAGAGTGCAGAGAAAGTCCCCAGGCAGAAAGACAGTGAATGACCACGATCCCAAAAGCTGTCTGCTGTTGGGGATGAATTTATAGAGCCAAGGCAACGAGGAAGGCGTCCGTTGCTAGATCTGCTAAGGAGTGAATTCCGAACTTCTGTAACAAGCACCGAGCAGCTAGGTAAATGTCACAAAAAACTCTTTTAAATGCATAACCAAGCTGTCAATAAAAGTACCAAAAATAAAATCTGAGCACAAGCAAGTGATCTGATGCTAAGGCTGGGGGGGAGAGTGGTGACATCTGCAGGTGGGTGAGAATAGATTTTGCAACTCAGCGCGTCTCCCGCTCTTACTTTGACCAAGCCTGGAACTTAGGTCTTGCAATGCACATCCGCAAACGATTGCTTTCTGCTAAAGAAGACAGT